CTGCTGCTCCTGCTGCTGCTCCTGCTGCTCCTGCTCCAGACACTCCAGGACCTTTTGCTGCACCTTAATGCTCATCAACCACAAACTTTGCATGTAAACCAGCTGCTTCTGCTGCTTCAATAGCATGCTGTCTGAACGTAGCATTAGACACCACCTGTGTACAGATGAGCGCCACTGCAGGTCATTCATTTCTGCATCCATCAGACTTTATAATAACCTGTGCAATAAGAGCCCTTTGTTTCCTTGTTCAGATACAGAACCTGCAAGCACACCGTTTACACTGAGTCCCAATCCTGCAGATCAAACCGTAATGTCTTAATTTACATACGATCACTTCACTGAAACTTTCACTTCTTTTGAACCTCTGTGTTTTACTGCAGACGATGTCACAAGTGAATTTCTCTGTTGTGAGATCTATAGAAGGCAGACAGCAAACTAACGGGTGAGCCTGTGATTTCTTTACGGATAACCCACATAGAGTGGTTGTAGCTTCTAGGTGTCCAAATTCAATCAGTCACCAGGATGCTGAGCCCAGTAGACCTCTGCTCATGTTGGTTTTACTGGGATTAGTGGAGGCAGACATTCCGCTGCATCACGCTGTCCAAACATCCTGTAATTAATCTCTGCATTTCTAGATCTGCTGAAGCCTCTGGATTCTGTTTCTGCAGCTTATGAGATGAAACGGTTTCACCAAAGGTTAGAGAGGTTAGTTTCTGTTGAAGCAGCGAGATGCAGAGCAGCTTGCTGGATTAGAAAGCAGGCAGCAACCATGCTCTCTGAAGGAAACGGCCTAGTCAAAGCCTACCTTAATGATGTCCTCAGGCGTCCTCTCCACCTCCTTCAGCCGCTTCAGGACCATCTCCTCATTGGACGAGATGCTGAGCTCTTTCTGCTCCAAGGCCTCGATCTCCTTCTCTATTCTGTGTGGGAGAAATCAATGAACCTCCTGGATGAAGAACAGAGTGAAAGAGGGGGCGGGGTTACCTGAGGATATTGCTCTGCAGCTGATCACTCTGCTGCTGTTCATCCTGAGCCTGGAGCCTCATGGCCTCCTGCTCCTCCTCCGTCTGCTGACTCAGGCCGTCCATCAGCCACTGCTCCCTGAGGGCCTTTTTCTGAAACAGACACAGAAACAGTTTCACCTCCAGATTCTGCGTCTGCTCCTTTCTCCTCCCTCGTTCTGCTCCTTTCTCCTCCCTCGTTCCCACCTTCGCCCTCCTGTTTCAGCCTCAATGTCGGCTCCTTTCTCCTCCCTCGTTCCCATCTTCGCCCTCCTGTTTCAGCCTCAATGTCGGCTCCTTTCTCCTCCCTCGTTCCCATC